GGAAGCGCAAGAGCACAACTCCCTGACTCACTTGTTTAAGCCTGACAGTATCCGGTTAGTCCAAACTGAAGCTGAGCATCAAATATTGGTTCATTTTATGGTTTAGTTTCTCCTAAGAGCCTTTTGTGCAGAGGTACCTTGACTGCTGACTATTTAAACTAAATCTGAGCAGTAAAATTATTTGATCCTCACAATATCAGACTTAAATCCCCTCCAATGTCACACAAAGAGATTTGGGGAGATGATTGTTTTTGCCACAGACTCAGGGAAGGCAGAAAAATTTAAGGAAAAAAACCATCTAGTAAACAAAGAAAACTTCTGCAACACAACTGGTCTGGTTTTAAAAATTGACCAGACTGGCACAGAAGTTGTGCTACATAAACCAGGAATTCCCACTGTTTTGAGCATGCTTGTTCATGTACCATAAAATACCAACTATTCCTTCGTACTATTTTTTACTATATCACATACAGCAGATTTAGGTAGTTTGAGTTCCCATTAGATACCTGCATGCATATATATCTCTTCCATGTATTTGTAGAGATACTGGACGTTATTTTTAGACTGCACAAATATAATGTGATTATACATGCAATTGAATATATGGCTTTGGGTACAAACATATTAATATCCACACAGCTCCCAGTAATTCATAAATACTCAATCTTAGAAACTCATGGACTTTGACCTTTCTTCTGCTTCAGACAGATACTCAAAATGGGCAGCCCACCTACAACATGCTTGAGTGTTTCCATCTTTTTCAAATACAACAGAGTAACTCTGTATTTTAAACAGTATTGACACAAGATACCTCCACTCAGTGGTATTTTGAGACAAACTGATAATTCATAAAATGTACCATGTCAAAAGTCACCTCTATCGAAAAAGCTACATATGTGGCTAACAGCTTCACCTGCTCATTCTGTCAATTACAGTAGTATATCTTTGTTAATATCAGTACTTAAAAAGAATAATAATAAAAAAAAAAAATTGCTGCATGACAGATAACAAACCAGAAAAAGTAAAAATATTGTCATTGCCCCAGCACTTCCATGACAATAAGAGCCTCCAAGGCAGCTACAAATGGAAGAAATACTACAGTGATCCAAATGGCTGCTAAAAGGACTTACCTGGATTGCTTTTATGACCACATCCTCTTTTGGCAGCAGAACACAGAAATTAGTGATTATTAGGATTTGACAATGATTTTTAAGTCCTTTTTAAGTTAAATTTTCCTCCTATTTTAAACTGTATATTGCATTTTGACCCTGGTAACAACCGAATTCTGCTGACTCTGCAGAACATCTGTAGAGTCCAAACCAGAGGAGGATTTCTGCAGCTGCCTGACTTGGATTGGTGTTTTTACTTAAACAGTAGGTAAAATTTGCTCATTTCATTGAAGCTGTATAAAAGAACAACTACTGCTAAAAACATCTCACAGTTTAAAAGCAAACAAAAAGTGAAGGTGACAACTACATTGTGCATATAGAGACAATGTATGTCTGTACATGCAGACATACAAGACATAGTCCTAGTGATGAGTCCAAATGCTTAAATACTTTTCCTCCCCAAAAAAGCATTTTAGGTTTCCCTTAGTTGAGTGCCAAAATCTGGTTATAAAGCTCTTCAATATTCACCTCAAGAACAAATGTTTTAACTTAAGAACTCAGTAGCTAAATTAACTTCTTACTGTGGTTACAGAAACTTATCAGCTGCAGAATTCCATCTATATAGCGACCTGTGCCTTTGCATATACCCAGTTTAATTCAGCAGCATCCCACCCATGAGTCTAACTGAAACACATACCAGTCAAGTTGGGCTGAAGCAGAAGCACCAACTGCTGCAAAGAGGCAGCATGAAATCCTTAAATAAGTCACACCCGGGTATTAAAGTTATTTACATGGAATACATTTACAGGGGAATGAGAAGACTGTAAAACTGTTGCTGGACAACAGCTGCAAAGATTAATTTCAACAGCTGCCAAAACCAGCCCTCAGTGAATTGTAACATATCTCCAGAGAGTTTTTTAGCAGCTCTAAAAAATCTGTACTGAAAACTAGGAGTTTGATTTCTCACCTCTCCTCCCCCAAAGGAAACTTTGTTCTTCCACTGACTTCAATAGATAGGAATTATAATTTAAGAGCAAAAAAAGATGACTAATACAGACTGCATGATTAGGCTGTCTAAGTGCACAGAATAGGCAGTTTGAGAGAGACTAGCTGCCAAATTCAATCTGCGGTACATATCGTGATGTTGATTTGTTCCTCTGACAATCACTAAATGTACCATACCGCAGAGCTCCAGAAACGCAGTGATTAACACCCAAAACTGAACTACTGAGAACAACGAAAACTGAAGACTTATTATTTTCAGGATTTGATTTTTGAAGAACCTACATCATCTGACTTCCAGATATTTTCCATTTTCTTTCTTTAAGCACTTTGCTAACCCAAACCTTGCAAAGGGGATGCTGAATGCATTTTATTTTAAATCAGAATACCAGGAAAAAGCATTAAATAAGACATATAATGCTAAAACTATTCAAAACCCCAGTAATTCTACCCTGCTCGTATAATTCCTGTAACAAGCAGATGTAAAATGAGTTATGAAAGCCACTTTAATGCATTATTAAACAACTGCACTTGATTATCAGCCTGTGTATTGCAAAAACTGTTTAAGGTCTACGAGACTTTTTTTGCAGGACTCTTCTCCACCGCAGCCCTGTGTTTTGCTTGCTTACAGTGAACTGCCATAAGCCATTCTAAAGGAACATCAACAACTTAGAACTTTATGTAAAACGTGAACAAATCCAATTATCACATAATTGAAGTACAAATTCTAAGTCTGCTATCAAACAACATTTATTACAATAATTAACAAATTCTGAAGCAATTAACTATGTCGGACTCTCTTGGTCTATTCCCCTAACACTGGAGTACTATTCTTTGAGTAACTGCAGAACAGTAGCTACATACTATTTTTTTCAACAGTTCTAATTTCTGGCTCTCAGAAAATTCAGTTCAAATGGAAATTAATCTTTTAATTACAAATTTTACCAACAACAGAGTTTTAGAGTTCAAAATACTTCAGCCAATGAAGAGCTGCTCTTGTTGTCAGCAGTGGTACAGCACTGTCTCGCAGCTCTGCCAAAGCATAGGAGTTTGGGCTGAGCAGGGTGTGCAGCAATGGGCACTGCTGACATCAGGCCTGTGTCTGTTCACCAGGAGGATGAAGGAACTCTGAAAGAACTAGAATGATCTGTCAGAAAGAAAACTGAGATTGAACTGAAACTGGCAGAATAAAGAAGAAAATATGGCCTGAAGCACTACCATTGGAACAATCTGAGTGTTCACTGAGCTGAGTGCAGGATGGACCAGGGAAGACCTCTCCCCCAGTTGTGTGAAATGGTCTTGGAGGGTCTGCCTACAGCTGAGGGCAAGGACAAACCCAGATTTCTTTACTGTGTATGTCTACATCTGACTAGAACAACCTGCAGAAACATCCTGAATCTTCAGGATCAACAGTTGAATTTTAATGCAATTTGGTGTTTTGGAAAGAATTTTTAAGCCCAGTAAATAGCTGGAGAGAGCAGGAAGTACGGAAGTCTGACTTAGGTAACAGTACAACAAGCACAATGAGAACTCAAAGCGTTCTTTTGTCTCAATAGAAGTATTCAACAGAGTGCAGCACAGTATCTGCAGTGATCAGCAGAATATGAACATGAGGGAAACATCTATCTAATTATTTTTTCCCATTATCTTTTCCTTAAAAAGTAACATCCCCCCCCCCAGCACAAAATATTAACTTCATTATAACACTATACTACTTTCCAGCTTTGGAAATCCTCAGTTTGATAAACAAAGCAGGAATTTCAATTATGCAGAGCTACAACTGCCCGAATCCCAAGTTATTCTCTTTTCATGTATCAGATTCTATAAGTTTATAATGATTATCTGACCATGGTTATATATTGCCCTCACACCAAGCAGCAAAACTTGATCTACTTTTTACAAATGATATATTTCTACATAAACAAATATGTAGAATTCATGATATTTGGGCTTCATGATATCTGGGGACAGCACTCACCTTTAGAAGTTTCCCAGTGTACAAATGAATCAATTAATGACAATCCTTGTTTATAATAAAATGTGGTTAATTCTAGCCAGTCTGCTTCCAGTGTACTAATAACTGGCCCTTTTCTTGTTACTTTCATAGATAAGACACCCTCATGATAGGTCCAGCAGGTAGAATCATCATCAAAAACATTGAAGACTGTATACAGCTTGTCTAAGAAAAAGGAAAAAAGAATAAGCATCTGGAAGATAGTGTTCCAAAATAAAACCACTATTAATCTCTTATTTTAACATGGGTTTCTAATTCTAAATAACACTTTTAAGAATTGTTTCCTGATGTGACTATACTCAGCTTGAGCCCTAAACACACTCAGGATGGGGTGTGAGGGAGACACACTCTGGGACACAAGAAAAATTTGAACATATTACACTTGTGTTGTCACTGGACCTTTTAGGTAGGTGGGTTTTGCATAGGGAAAATACACTAAAGCTAAGAAAACCCCAGTGGAAACAGGCTTCATTTCTGCTACTCGTGGAACTTCTGACTACAAATATTTGAAATTACTTCAAACAGAAGACTGAAGACAATTTTCTACATTTTGAAGTATCACGAATGCCTTGTACAGTACTGATTTTTACCCATTTAAGATGACTTCAGTACCAGTAGAATTAGTTACCTACTGGGGTTTCCCACATAGTAAATGATGAGCGAGTTAAGCATACAAAACCTGCACATGCTCAAACACTTTTTATATCTAGGCATTAATATAGTGCTATTACAAAAACAGAGTCAAACAAGCATTCACCAAAAACTAAAATTCACAAATGCATAGCATTTTAGGAAATCACTGGTGACAAGTTATTAAGTCCTAGCTATACAAACGTATGCTACAAATGCACTCACATGTATGCCACTGCTGTAGGAGAAATAACACGCAACAGTTTTTGGCAACTGCTCTCAGATTGTCTAACCTTTCAGCATCTCAGCAGCCTAAATCAACACAAACCAATCTCTAGAAAGCAGTAGTATTCACACTGCCACAAGAAAAGAACTTGATGTAGCTGACACCAGTTGAGATGCCATTCTCTCTAGGCTCTAGAAACAGAAGGAGATTTCCAAAGTTGTATTTGGAGTGTAAGCAGTTTAATTCAATCTCTGGGAGAACCAATCTGTTTCAAGAAGTGTTATCACACACTGCAGGTAACATCAGGTGCCTGGAATAAGGTGCACTGAGGACAAAAATCTGGAACTCTATCAGTAAGAGATGACTCTCCTTTTCATACAGTTTTATTTTACCTCCTTCACAGGTGGTTGTATGAGAATAAAACGTGTTAATCCTGACAACCCTTAATTTCCTTTCCCACATATCTAAAGTGAGATCACTTTCATTTTTGTTCTTCATAGAAAAAACACTATCAAGTCTCCTGATACAACTATTCAATTGCTCCTGAGTATCAGAAATTTGCCTTTGCAAGTGGACAGAATTCATACATTATGGCTCTGAAATCTAGAACTCAGAGTTTTGTATCTTTTGAGCTGACCTAAATAGAAATGACATGCTGAAGTGGCAGCACACACCTACATGCATCTAAGACCGCCTTTGAAAATTCACATCAGTGCAGTGGTTGGTAATCTACCTGGCCACACCAGCCTGCACTAACAAAACTCCTTAACAGAATAAAGAGTTCCTGCTTTTCACTTAAGAGGCTTTTTATTCTGCTACATATAGCATACCACTATTTCAAACTGCAAGGAAAGAGTTAAGCTTTAACAGATTGTCCTATAAAGGCTGAGTTGTACTAGAATCCCTTTAAAGTGTTAAAAAATAAGAGGAACATTGATTATCTCAGTGCTTTGAGTCATCATTATCCCGACAGCCTACAAACTGGAGAAGGTGCTTAGCTCTTAACAAGAGGTGAAAAGGTTGCTTTTGAGAGCAATTAAAACATGTCTGGCCCATTGGGGAAAAACCTATTATGTCAAAATGCAATCTGACATGAAAGTTTCATGCTGCCTGCTTTCTACACAACACTGTCTTGCATTAGTTCTCACGCTTTACATCTTCCTTTTCACCTTTCCCTCCTAGGAAGCCAGGAGGCCTTATAGTGCTTCAGTATTAGAAGTCACTGCTTCAGGCACTCTCACACAGACATAGGCAAAGTATCTTCTACAACTAAGTTTTCTACCACAGCACCAATATTTTTCAATGATACTTTACCTTCCTATACTACTTCCTTTTTAACGTTTACTTTTCTCTGGTGCAAATTCATTTTGTAGCAATTATTGTCTTTGATTTCATGGTCAATGCATTATTTTAAGTGATCTCTTTCAGGAGGCTTCTTGAAGGCACATTAACCAGAAAGAATCCATTATGAACGGATTTGTTTGCTGTACATTATGCGAGGTGACTAGAAGCACGTAAAATTACAGCTCTAGCTGGAAGGGGCTCTCTTTGTTGTTGGTTTTCAAACAGGCAGAACTAGAATCATCATAACATACTCTCGGCAATCTATTACATGTTTATGATTTCATATTAAGTGAAAGCTATAAGCATTTAGGAAAAGGATTTAAAACAACTGTACCCTAAAAGAAAAGATTTTTACTGCCACATATTAGTTATACACGCATGAAGCAAAAAAAGCTGTCTGCACCACTTTTAAATCAGAATTACACTGTGGGCAATTTTTGCTGGTTTGTTTGGGTTTTTCCTTTTTCTTTAAACTACAAACTAGAATTTATAATATTCTATATGAAATGTGAAATATTTTAATATATTTCCACAGTCCACACACACATAGAGTAGAAGGTAAATACTACTTCTGTTTCTTCAGCTGGCAACTTTTTTAGAAGTACATACGTATTTAACAAGATGCATCTTCCAAGATAAGTTATTTGATACATTAGAACATGCTGTTATTTTTTTCCAACACCTTTTTAAAAACAACAGCTCAATAAACCACCTTATTTCTGCAGTAAACAAGCAGCATTTATTACCGTCTCCTTTCCGTGGTTTAACAGGGCTGACTTCTTTTCCAAACTGGAAATCTGCATCCTGTAACAGACTGCTTTCTCCTTGCATTTCCTCCTCTATTCCACTCTCAGATGAGTGACCACTCAACGTCCCTTCATTCCAGTTTTTATAGTTTTCATCAGAATTTTTTCTTCTGTGTTCCCTATTTCTTCTGCCTAGCGTTGATTCCAGTTCTGCACTTCCATCTGTGCTTGTTCCATTACAGGCTTTAGGTTGAGGAAAATGTTGTGTCACAAATCCCACAAACTTCTTCCCTCTTTTAGCAGCCTCGTTAACCTGTATTTACAACAGAAATTTATCTACAAAGTGATTTTAGAATTGCATGTAACTCAAAACCCCAAACCAACAAACCTAATCACCACCAAACTTCTATATACATGTTCTGTTTAACTACTGCTGATTTTCAGGGACATAAAGACACAACACTGTACTATAGTAGGGTGGCTTGTCTTTGCCCAGTGCCCTGGTTTCAAAGAAAATGGAAGTCTTCCAGCATGTCTCTGGACTCAGGCCAAGAATGGTGGCCAATGCTGGTGCTGACTTCAGTGTATGAAGTACTTCATTTTAAACAAAATCCTTTTAAAACAAAATCCAAAGTATTTTACTTGCTGTGTCACAGTGATAAGCAGTGTACTGGTGTGATAAGTAATATTGTTTCTCTAAGCACATGATAACAGGCATACTGAAATTACTGACCACTAATACTATGGAAATATGTTTATCATGTGTCATGATTCATTATCCTCGGGTTCCCTCAGAGGCTTCACTATTACTGAGAACAGTGAAGAAACAGAGGAAGGAGGGAGCTAGAAACAAATTAAAACCCTCTTAACTCTGCTTTCACCCAGTGGTGGGTCTTTTTCTCTGCGCTAGAGTCTCAAAATACAACTGTACAATATGCATCACCTATGGGATGTGTCTGTTCCTGGAGGCAGGGTTTTGGTTTGGGTTTTTTTTCCTGGGATAAGGAGTGCTGCCATTTAGGAAGCTGATCCCACTGCCATCTTGTGCCACAAGCTCCCCTGTGCTTTCAAGTCCTTCCAGGAAAATACAGAAACCCCAGTCCAGAAAGAAGAAGTCACCTGGGAAGTACTAGATTTAGAAATTCTAAAACAACTCTGTGATAATTGCAAAGGTCATTAAAGATTTCCAGTATGCTTTTTCCTCTACTACTCTCCTTGGCAACTTATGTAAAAGATATCACTCTAGCTCTTGTAATAACAACAGTTTCCTGTTTCGGCAAGTCTTCAGTTCTGCAGAGGAAGTTAAACACAAAAAGAACTAGAACTAGCATTCCACTGGAAGTTCAGTTTTCTGTAACTATACAATATTTTTAAAAGCTGTGCCAAGTAAATATTCATAGTTACTGTGTATTTTCTATTTCTGTTACAGAATCTTGCTTAAAAACTGAATATATTCACATTCATTAGGAATACTTTACTTAACCCAGAACAACATAAAACTTCAGGTCTTTTTTGCTTAATATTAATTCCAGAAAAAGGTACCATACAAGCATTTTAGAAAGACTGCCTGAGAGTCTGGGCCTGATTCTGCTTTCAGTGGTGTAAGCTGCCAGTTTTCTAAAGCTTACAGGGCTTAGTACCAAGTCCTAAATTAGAAAGAGAAACTAGTGAAGAAAAAAATAACTCCCTGTACTTCAAGAAAAGACTTTGTAGCTTCTACGAAATAACCCAAGGTTAAAACTTAAAACTCAAAAAACATCAACCACACAACATATGTGTATGGTAGAAATAAAAATCTGAAGAGATGTTTGAAAAAAAAAAAACCCAAAAAAACCCCTCCGTTACCTTTTCTAACAGTTCTTTCACTACCTCATTTGTCAGTGTTTCATACATTAAAGGACATTCCTCAATCACCAGCCTGGGGTGCCTTTGTCCTCTGGGTGCTGCATGCTTCTGGCTAGAACACAGAAAGAAAGCAGTCTTTGTCAGTAGTTCGCTGCTAACTTGGGCAAATGCTTGCGTATACAATTCTTTTCCTTTAGAATAGTTATGAATGAAACCCTGGCAATGCTTCTTCATACTTTTATTCAGAACACAGTGGGTTTTGGTGTTTTGTTCTGTTCCATACACAAAGTGGCAGGTACTATCTATTACAATGTTAGGGTAAGAATATTAATATTTCACAAGAATTTCATCTGAAGACTGTTAATAGACATCTTTTGGAAACTGAGCTTTATTGACAAACAAACAGCCCTGTTTTTGTAATACATAAACCCCAAAATCTCTAATAATGCAAAGAATACCAATATACGCTATAAATGTAGCCAGCACAAAACAGGTTCAGTTTTGTAGAAAATACAGTATGAATAGAAATTGATGTTTTAAACTGTTAACATGCTACTCTCTTTTTTGTAAGTAAAGCAGAGTTGCAGCTGTTGCATGAAATAGTGTAGGCAAACACTAGAAATACAATGCAGTAACAATTAGTTTGGGTTAGGTAATGCTTCAATCACTCAGACATGAGAATCTGACAAGCTTTAACTTTCATTTAAAGAACAGTATTCATCATGTTGTATCCAAAGCCAGTAAGGTTATTACTCAGACAACAGTATTTGGTGTGTATCAATAATATAATGGGATTTTGACATAGTTATTTGCTTTAGAATGAAACATCAGCGAGAGATTCACAACTGTACATAGGGCACCTGCACAGGAAATTGGGAGCCTACACCCAGTGGTTTCACACGTAGGCTGCACAGTCTTGTCCTTCACCTATTCCAAGGGCCTGTTCAAACCACAACTTCATAAGGATGCCACACCTATAGGGACAGGGCAAGTTGTGGGAGCTGTATGCTGTCAGTGTTGGCTCTTAGAAGCCTCAGCTCCAGAGAGTAAATATTCTGCTTTTCTTACTCAAGCATTTGCCCACATGGACAACCCTCACCTTGTTTGCAGATGGATTTATAAAGCAGAGTTGTATGAGCAGCAGATGCCACGAACTATACTTGTTTAAGCAAGGTGTTTGAGAAGCCTCCTCAAATGAACCATGTTTTACAGAAGCATTACTGGATTGGCAAGAGGCACCTTCCAACTCACACCCTTCCAGTCTTCCAAAAGAAAAAGAAAGAACCTTTATGCCTTGCACTAGGACTCAGGATCAAAGGGGGAAACACGACAGCTCTCAGTATAGTAAGAAATCTGCTTTTCTAGTTACTCAAAATAAACATGTTATCTTCTTTGCATTCGAAGGAGCTAATGGCAGTTTCTTTGTACATTTTCTTTATGATCACATGGTGATTACAATGCAGTGAACACAGGAATCACAAACAAGACTATGGAGCTGGAACATAAACACTAACTGTTGACTCTCTCTCACTGTCAACACCAAGCTTTTATATGAGCTCAAATCACAGAATGAATATTTCCTTCTTAAGAAGGAAAAATACACTCTGACACACTAATTCACACTTTATAGGTCATTTTCCCAGAATAATGCTCTTATGGGAAGAGTGAAAACATGAAAGTTTTGAAATTCAAAAACAAAACACAGACATGAGAGAATTTAAAGCAGCTTACTACTCTCCTAGTGTTTTGTTTAATCTTGTATTTGCTGCAGGTTTTAAGACAGATGATACTTTATTATAAAAATGCATTAGAAGTAAAAGGTTAAACTAATACTTCATCTTCCCACAAATTATGATAAGCAGCCTTGTATTTTTATTTGGACATATTCAAAGGCAAAGTAAACATTAGCCTGTTGTGTGCTTAGTGTAAACTGAAAAACATTAAAACCATTAGTAATTTGATTCTCTGAGGTGCTCATTCCAAGGTGATAATAAACCATGCATGTTGAGCAATCCACTTAAAAATGACTTCAGTAATGGATCAATGTATTCAAACTATTTCACTGTTACCTTAATTTCAATCGTGAAAGTACCACTCGATACATGTGACTTGCAGGGAAACTCCTTCTACGTCCAATTGGCAGCATAATAGGATGAACAGCTCCTACAACATATCCTTTGCTGTAATATTCTTCCACCTTAGGTGCTATATCCAACACAGAACTAATCTTGATGACATCTGGATTTGAGGAAGCTAAAAAGCATTGAAAGCAGAAGAGAAGCACATGATACTGTGTATGTCCATATACTTTTTGGGTGAGTTCCTTTTATATAAACCACACAAAATCTATCCCAAGGCTTCAATAAAAAGCTACAGATCTATTTATACAAGAAAAAGCAGACTCACAACTGATGCAACAGTATTCAACTAGTTGAAGTACTTATTTTTACTAGTTACTCTGATCTATTTTTATTCTATCTGGCAATGCTTTCTGTTGGATCTAGCTTTGCCAAGCTAATTCGAGAGCTACATCAGTACCTAAACACGCAATAGGTCTAAACTTAAAGCAACTATTTTGCCTAGCCAAAGCCTCAAACATTCTGAAGCAATATCCTTCAACCCTAGTTGTGAGGCAAATTCCTGTACATAGCCCCAATTCCCTTTTCCAGCAGACCTAAGTAAGTTATGTGGTGTCACTAATTTCTAAGGAAGGTCTCTTGGGGTGTGTGCAAGCATTTCCAATCAAGAGGGAAAAGCCAGGTACTATATGGCTATTGAGGGAAACAACAAAAATAAAGGGAAAACTCTCTGGAGAATGGTCTGATCCACAGCTTCCACACACAGAAAAGGAAGATTCCACACTGGTAATAGATGATATATTGTGCCACAGTCAGTCTGTGGCAGGTCCGTATTTCCTGTTCCCCTCAACTCCAATTGGAATTGCAAATGCTCTCAGAAAGCAGGAAATCAGTACTCATACACAGACTGTAACTGAAGAGTAATCATGCTAGCATATATTTGTCATCATCAAAATCTTCATGCTTTGCACATACAGACTCTTAAAGACAGCTTGGCTTGGAATTTGATGGTCTTTATCTGTGACCCTTGAAGCAAGTTATGTACTTTTTTGTGTTCTAATGGTTCCCTCCCTTTCTTTGCAAGACTTTCAGTGCATTAAGACCAGTGTCCAACTGTATTAAACAATGTCCCAACTGGAATTAAGTGACCTCACAACACTTTCTGAGATACAAACATTTCAACATGCTGCTCTAAACATTCCCTTTCAAACCATACAATAAGCTGAAAACAATTAAACACACTAATTCACCTTTGATTCTGTAATTAAATATATATATAAAAGAAAAAAGAAGAGATAAATGCAATGACATAAATCTCATTCACCAATATGTAAATGTATTGGTTAAGAGTTAACTTCATGTTCTTACATCCTTTTATCTACCTGCCCTATATTGTAGGTGAGCAAAAGCAAGGAATTGCAGGACTTTATCAAAGAAACAAGTCACAAAGTCTACCTATCCTACTGGTTTAAAGTATCATAAACCAGATGTTTGAACATTTAGTTTGCTTAAATCTTTTACTATAATAAAGTGAACAAGAATTCTGCTGGCTCATGAGTGATGTGTTCTGTAAAACATCACTCTCTATACTGCTTTCCCACTACAAAACGGGGATAGTAACAGTATAGATACATTATGGAGGGATTTAAAAAACAGAAACACAAAACAGCAACAACAAAAAACCCCCATCAGAAACTAATGTTTTATAATACTCAACTGGTTTGAAATACCAACTTTTACAGAAGGGAATAAGGAAGGGAGGCCTACTTTGCTTGCCACTATAAGAGCCTTAACAGCTCAGAAAAGCTATCAAGAGAAACCAGAATCCCACGTACCACAAGAAAGGTACTACCAAAAACTATTGCTAGCATATATATCAATGGTTTATTGCTGATTACTAGCAAAGTCAACCTACTACTGTACAGTCTGACGTTTTTTGTCATATGGAACAGGCTGTTGCATTTTCTTGTGCTATCTTGCCTTTCATTTTTTAAGCAGTGTATCGCAGCTCGCCTTTTCATTAAGAAAATTTCCTTCCTGATGTGCTGTCAACAAGTAGCCAGATACTTTTACAAATAACTACAGCTAAATAGCTAGCTGTATAGTAAGCTTCAGATGCATGACATGGAAGATGATGACAAAACAGTAACTTCATACATATTCATACTGCTATTCAGAGTGACATTCACAGCATGTCATCTCAGTGGGCTACATCAATATTCTCTCTTTTCCCTATAAGGAGGGCTGTGAAAAAAGCATAAACATCTGCTTGAGTAGATACACTGAAACTAACCTTACTGTATGGCTAAACTGACCTCAAAAAATAACAGCTGTTTTCATAACCAAGATATACGTCATGATTGAGACTGTAGAATTTACAGTCCTTGACAGGCACTTAAAATTACACTTGGGAGTCCACTGCTCCCTTACCTTTGTACTATTAAATCCCACCAAAATAAAAGACTGGCTGTAATCTTCTTGTTAGGGATTCTCCTGATGCAGAACAACCTCCACAGAACTCAAGGCTGATTTTTACAGTAGGAATGGCAGTGTTTTGGGGATCAGGAAGAAAGAAGCCAAAGTACAGGGCACTGCTGATAACCAGTTAAGATGCACAGGGACTCCAGCCAGTGGATTTAGATTACAGCATGGTTGACCTAGTCCGCATCATGGCTTGGGAGAAGACTCCAGAAAGTCTCCCCAGCAGGCTCACTTCAACTTCACATGGTGAAGCAGAGAATAAGGCATATTAAATTGAAGTAATGCATTTATGCTTCCTATACTTTTATCTTAATGCAGGGCATAGCTTAGTGTAGTATCTTACAAAAAATACTAAGCACAGATTTTCTGTTTCACTTGGTGTAAGATCCAGTGGTGGTAACATGTCACTAAGGCAAAGAGAAATCTCAGATGCTGGGGAAGATACTGCTCTGGAAATCAGCAGAGTGCCAGGAAGACAAAACACATCTTGACAGTGGAACGAAAACTTAGGGCTAAAGTGCTAAAAGGCTCTCACTTAGGTTTTGTTTAGCTAACAGATATTCAAGTAGCAGCAAGTATGTAAGCGAGGTGAAGCAGAGCCGGGGCGGGGGGAGGAAGCCCAACATATTCCCCACAGTACTTTAGCCAGTCCCCATGTTCCATAAGCAAACAAAACTCAGAAATGCCTCCAAGACAGTAAACACACTGTTTTTGTCTGCATTCATTATCCTAGCTCTAAAAACTAAAGACCCCAAACACAAAATATTTTAAAGTCAAATAGACACATGGCTAGAAGCATTCAAAAGAACAGTTTAAAATCCACTTGCTTACAGTTAGAAGCCTAAAAAAAGTTTGGCAATTATCTCAAACTGATCTCATCTATTTAGCATTTATAACTCCACAATAAGTCAATGAAGCCCAACACTTTTAAGTATCAGACTGACCAGGAGAAACCAAACCCCTACTGCTGTACTGAGGGGCTACTAAAAAAAGATGTACCTTTTTTTGCACTTGTTTGATATACTTTTTCTTTAAAGTCACAACCACTTTTACAACAAAGGCTTTACAGAACACTTTCGGAAACCTGTTACTTTAAAACACAGCAAAACTATCCAGAACACTAGATGATCTTCAGTTTCAAAAACCTCTGTTTCATTATCCCTTATCACTAGATCAGTAGGTAATGCATGTATGCACTCAGCAGCCTATCTTTATTTCTAGTACATTACCACTACTAGTTACTCAACATAACGTTTTAGTTCTTCAAAAAGAACAAGCCAGTGAGAAACTGTTCGGGTAAAGAAACAGAAGAACAAATACAGTTGGATGTCAAGTACTATAAATAGCATGTGGCTTCTCTAAGTATCTTGCAGGTTTTTGATATAGACTGATACAGATATATGAACAGACTGATATAAACCTTTTAGTTAAAACTACAAACCTTTTAGTTAAAACTAAGCAGAGGCAAAGTTTTGTTTATGTAAAAGTTCCTAAAATGTAACATGACATGCACTTACACTTTTCCCCCTTTATCAAACCTTTCTAGCAATTGCATTTACTTCGAACCCTTGTTATTAAGCATTTCCAGTAGACTGGGTTGTTATATAAAATGCTAGTTACTACAAAGTGACTGCAAAACTGAGCTGTCTGTTCTCAGAGGGCAGCCATCTGGGCTTGTTTATGTTTTCAACTTGGTGGAACAGGGAGTTGCTCTGTTAGAGACGGGACACCCTCGGGAAGGAAGTATCCCACAGAGCACTGTCTGCCTCTAGCTACGCATACAAATTTTGGTTTATTTCGGTCACAATTTCAAAAGACTATTCAGCAGCTACAAGTAAAGCATTTGGAAAAAAACAGTAAGATGTAACTGTAAGGCTCTTACTAAAATATCCACTGAGAGACTGAGGTGAACATAAGAGGGGAAGCTACTCCTGGTATACACATAAGAAACAGACTTCTGCATAAAGCAGCAAGGACAATGACAGCCTGTTTTTGGAAGTTGAGTCCATTTTTACAAACTGTTACTCACTTAAGGCTCAGACACAGTGTGTTTTCTTAACAGTCACACTGAATTCAACACAACCATTATTCAAAGTAAGGATGGCAGCATCTGACTCACAGGAAACTACGAAAATCTCTTACAGTTTTTTAGCCAGCTTCCTTGACAAGGACAGCTGTGTAATTTGGAAGGTTTGGTTGTTAAAAATACTGCAGCAGTTTCCATTGTAATTTTATATAAGTGAGGACCTTCGTCACGATTTGTGTTTCAAAATAAAAGTCTTACTTTTATCAAAGCTGGCCAAAATGTATCGAAGATTTACTGCAATTTAAACAAGACAGAATGGAGTTAAATCCTTGTCCTTGCTTTCTCTGAATAGTAAATATATAACATAAAAAGATACCTTCTAAAGTAAAATCCAGCAATACATATTCATAAGCAGAATCCGTCTTTGTTTCAACTTGTGGTCTCTTCAATGTAGAGAAGATTTTTCCAGGGCTGCTATCATCTGGGTCTTCCAGCTTTCTCAGTCCGCACCCCATGGCAAGATTTGCAAGTGATTAAATCGCAGGAAAAGGTTGGGGGGAGCAGCAAGATCTGTCGCTCTCACTACAGGGGGAGGGAAAAAAAAAAAAAAAAAAGGTAACCAAATAATTCCCTTTGATTTTGTTTTCTACTAGCTGTAAATCCAAACAGAGAAAAAGTCCAGTTCCCAAATCAAAAAGCCAAGGTACTTTCCATTCATTTTTTTATACAGAAACAGCCAGCCTGTGATAATTTCAAGCTACAAACTTGGCATGAGTAGGCTTCATTTTGCGGCAGTGTTAGAGCTGCTACAAACTAGCAGAGATTTTCCATGCCACGTCAATTTACAGCCAGCCCCCTATCAGGGCTCTCTTGCAGAGGACACCAATAGTGCTTTGTTTGTCCTTCTATACTGGGTGAGGGGGGGCAGAAGAGGGGGGTAGAACTGAAAAAGAAAGTTAGAAGCTTGTCTGTAACTACTTACCTCCAGAAGTTCTCAACTTCAGTCAGAGGGAAAAGAAGCAAGTTAGCCAGAATGAAAGAATGAGAAAAGAGCCTCAACATGGTTGGAGACGAAAATCATTTCCAGAAAGGAAGTCAGCTTCAAGAGGAAATTGCTTCTGGCATCTCAAAGGGTAGAAAAGTAAATGAAAAGCAGTTTAGTCCTTATTTTAGATTTCAAAGATTGGTTCCTATTTCCTTTCCACAGGAACTTTCCTCCAGAGGGAAAAAGAAAAAACAAAAACATAATCATAGTGTAATATACTGCAATAATATATAAAAAAAAGTAACACTTCCTTGTCAAGAAAATCAATCAGAACCTATACTGCTACAATCAACTTAAGTAACTAGTTTTGATAAACACTGAAAAATGACACTGAAATATTCCTCATGTCACATCACAACTTTTTCAATGTTATATATGAATATAGTTACAAAATTTTGTTTCCTTTTTTTTCATGGTATTGAACAACCAAAATCCTCTTCTCTTCTGCCAATCTGACCTCAGCTGGTACAGCCAGGGACTTCCAACACTGTTTCCTAAGTAAATTTTTAAGTCTCTAAAATTTAGTATAAGAGCTCCCATTAATCTTCCATCAACTAGTGCAAGTCACTGTAACTGCATGACACCTGACGCAGGCCATGCTAATGCATGGGGAAAAAAGGAACAGTGACTGATTTTCTAAGGCCCTGTTACTGCTGGTATGTGCAGTATAGAAAATTTACCTTTTTATTTTCAGACTGAATCTAGAGAAACTGAGTCACCTACATGAAACGAGAGATTCATAACACCATTTAGAATGAAAGGAACTGCACATCTGAATTTTACAAGCTTTTTACATTTTTCACTGAAAAATACTGATCTTACCAGTCAATCACTGCAAGTGAGGCATTAACCATTTGTGGTTTGCTTCCTGTTATACTACAAGCAAAGTGATCTAACTTTTATTGAAGCAGCTTACCAGGAATGGTAAGTCTGCAGGCTATACCCCTTTGAAATCCATGTTATAGTTATCTTTGGAAGAATTTTAAGATCACTTAGTGCAGAGCCCAGGACTGAAGCTGTAATTACTGTGTTCAGTCCTTGAAACAAGCTCTCAAGTGCTGAAACCCAAGAGGAAATCCCTTGGTGTTGTAACATCGCAAATAAGCAAAATTCTTCAGCTTCCTGCATGTCTGCTTACAGAGAAATTGCTCCCAAACACACTTTTGTTTTAGTAAAGGTCATCTCTGAATTGTTGCTATAGCAGAAATACATGTAAATTGTCCACTCAACCTTGAGAAACCTGCTGCTTCATTCCACACAGTTCATAAGATCCACTGTAACCACTTGTATAAAGCCATGGCATGACTAAGATAGCTGCAAGTAAAAACTCTTTGCAGCACTAGTCCAGTTGCCAGCTGGTTGCCCTTTTGGTTTTTTTTTTTTTAATTTACCTAAAGATAGCTGCATTTTTCATAAGGCCAGAATATTGTATTTTGAACTCTTTGTGACAAGATTTAAACCACATTTCAACCCTCTCACCAAGACAGGATTTTTCGTAGTATAAAATGAACTCTTAAGACACCAACACAGAAACACAATTATGATTAAAAGCAATGGTCCTTGATTTGGGTAACACTACATTACTTAAGCAGATATAGGCTTCCAAGGGGAAGTCAGTCAACAGTTGCCATTGCGGATTTGACTCAAAAGCCATTAGACTGAACCAATGAAACCAAAGATCCTACATGTCAGAATAAAAAATAGCAAACCAAAATAAAACCAACCAAGAACTAGCAGCATCCCCGACAGGAATTCAAATCTGCATTAAAGCACCCGAAAGACTCAGGAGAGGAACAGGATCCTAAGGCTTCTAGGTTCAAGAGCTGCTTAAGGAGCTGCCTAAATAGCTTTACCATCCTGTTGTAAAGTGGATATAAACTATGGAACACTCAATTTTCAGTGACCTAAAATGCAAAGGCTCTAAGAATTGGTGTCAGAGAAGAACAGATCCCTAAAACTACCCTGCAATTCACTAAGATGTGCTAATCACAGCAACCCCCACTGAAAGAGCATGGGACTCATTCACTGAAAAAGTCAAAATGTAAAACAGTATGTGGACCAAACATGTTTCCCACTTGGGGTGATAACCACTCATGTCTGCAGCTTACAAAAGCACGCAAGAGCACCACTTCAAAATCTAAATTCAAAAAAGTCACCATTATCATTGGCTACAGATCAGTCACCACTGACACAGAAGGTTTTTAAACAGAGGACAGACACATTCATAAGTACAAGGGGACAAATCACAAACACAAGTTAAATTAGTCAGATTTCTCCAGAAACTGTGGCTATGTGGACAGCTACAGGACTCAAAACCAATGCATTAAAACCCCCCTAAACATTAATCATTGCAAATTGCAACACTTCTGAACTTCACAGTTCCTCTCTGAACTTCTTTTTAGGCTTACTTCCTTTGTTTTCCGAGTGAAGGCAAATGTAAAGTTTTTGCTTGGGACAGGATAACAACAAAAAAAATACATCAAAAAAATTCTGCAATTCAGTTGTCAAATATTTTTCATATCCCCATCCTCAAGAGCTATTGCTTCAACAAAACACCGACATTTAGTTCTTCCAGTAGAATGATTTGATGAAAGCTGTTTTGCCCATAATTTAAAGACATTAAGAAAGTAGCAGTGTTCCATTTTGAAGGCCACTTCTTTTGGCAATTTTAAATTTATTTTTTCCTTCACCCATTTTTTTTTTCCTTTAAAGGAATAATTTTGTGAATGTACCAGGACAAGTCTTGTTAAACATGTTGACTTGCACCAAAAATGCTGGCTTTTCTGCCGTGGTATTTAGCTTAATGTTCTAAAAATAATTAACAAATGACAACAGTTTGTTTGAATGACTGCATAAGCACAGTTTAATGATAGAAGTTCAATGCTGTTTTCTGTTTTATTTTTCTAACCCATACTCATCAATACAATTAAATAAACCAAAGTTACAATCCAAAGAGTAGACACTGACCAATGTGAATTAAAACTTTTAGTTACCAACCCAGAATTTTAGTGGAAGTTAAACTACAGAAACTTCTTTATTATTGCTGTGTTACAAGTAGTTTCAACATAGAGCTTTTGATTTATAAGATTTCTAACATTTCTCTTAAATGAGACCTACTAATTTGCACATCCACAGTATCTCACTTACCAAAGCTGCAGTACCTAGATCATCTGCATCTGCCACAGTGTCAAATAACACAGCCATATGATAAACTAAAATCACACATTAGAGAGTGAAACTAGATGTTCTAGTTTATCTGATTAAAAACAACTTAAAGTATTATGAACAGTATTGAGTTTAGCTTTAATGTACACACTTTATACAGACTGCAGCTCCACTGACAGAGGTACAATGTAACCATGTGGGGCCCTTAAAGTTAGTTTCAATACTTCTTTAAATTATTTGTGACTCCAAAAGTTTAAGGCCTTACAAGACCTACACTGCCCCATTACGTCTTGGCTACTTTATTAAACATTGTTAGAAGTATTAATGTTCTGCTTTCTATGTATCTATTTGGATTTTCTGCATAACAGCTTACAAGGATTACATACAGGATTGCACACATGTATCAAGGCACTGGCATTGTATTTTTGATCCTTAAAATACTGATTTAAACTTGCTTTGCTTTTACTTAAACAGGAAACAGAAGAAACTTTTATACAGATGAATTAAAACTACTGTAGTACTTTCAACATTACAAACCTATTTTACAGTAACTTTTGCTATAAAAAACTATTTACAGCCCTACAACTCAGATTTTGGAACTATGTTAAACAGAGAAAAACACTTCAAGAGAACCATGTGTTCTAGTAGTTTCTGCTCAGTTACTAGTGGAATGCAGTTTAGCCACTGACTTACTATCAGCTATTTTTAAAAATTAATTTCACAATACAAAGAATTCCCAATATTAAAAATGTAAATAGATTTGCAGGGATTATGAATGGACTTCTGATGCTTAAGATTAGAACCAAAGATATTAGTTAACTAGAGAATTCTATTTAACACACAAGTCCTTGATCAAACAAAATACAGGAGAGAGGTAACTTCAGTAACTTTTCTGCCCATCTACAGGTTTTTATCCAGAGCTAACAGAGAATGTTAGCACTAGCATTTTGCCATATAAACATAACATGAAATAGACAATGGTTGCTAGAAATACTGTAACAGCTAGCTCAGTAGAAAACAATACCAGCCAGGTCTCTAAATTCTAAGGGGTGGAAGCCAGAAAACACATCTAGTTTGCTAACATATGAATGTGACAAGCAGTGCACAAAGATGGTTATTTGCTGTTAGTTACTGGAAGTCTACAGGGCAGAGTTCTAATCTGTTCCTCCTAGCACATGTGTAAAGCTTTGTAACTGTCAGTGGGAAAATGCAGAAGACCCAAGAGAATGTTACCCTTCTCCAGCCCCCAAAACCAGTGAGGGATCAGGATCTTAGCAGCTGCAGCTAACTAAATAACTCCTGTTTAAGAGCACAAGAATCCCCCACATTATGGAAACTTAAGTGTAAGGAGAATAAACTGTGCAGTTAAAGAGAATAAAAAAGTCATGAATATTAGAACATCAAGATAATGCAATTGCAGGCTCTACCCGAGGAAATGATGTAGTTCTTTCACAGTGCATACCGTTTGTGTATCTCTTAATGGAATTCCAGAAGTCAGATATTGAGCCTCAATTCTGCCTGCAGAAGAATTCAACCACTGGAAGCTTAAAGGTTCAGTTACTACTGGTTTGATGTTATGTCTTCATTCTTGGCAAGCATTCTGAAGAAAAATGAGCTACAACATCAACAGAGAACCCTCAGTATTTCAACAGTGACCTGTGGCTCCTGGAGGAAAGCCACCATTCAGAGCTT